TGTTCAATCCAACTTACACGGCGTCTACCATTGATCCATCCTGTTATCAGGAATGACCTTTTGCAGACGATGCGGCATTTGCCTGTTACAGGCCAGCCCCCTAACACAATTTCCAAATTCAATCGGTTTTATGCAGTGTTGGCAATGACCTTAAATGACCTCAAATGGCATCATTTTTATTATAAATTTCAAGTCAAAATAAATCAGTAATTTATATTATTTTATTTTATAATTGATAAATTTAAGTATTAAAATTTTTTTATATTTTATTATTATAATAATTTTAATAAGCTAAAATTCGTCATTCATGCAAAATTCTGAAAACTACGAAACTTCCAAAATTCCGAAACCTGATGAAACCTTCGAAGCTTAACGAAACTTTTGAAACTTAATGAAACCTTCTAATAAAACTGACAAATTTTCAAAATTTTGAATGATATATCGATATAACGAAACTAAATAATATACTTTAAGAATTAAAATAATTGTAATATTTATGTAAAGTTTTATCAATAAAATCAAAATTTTAAGAAATCAATTTATTTAACCAACGCGCCTAAAAAGTTAATACAAATAAAGCTTCAACTGCTAAATTAGGATCCCAATCCTCATTAATTTCCTCCTGAATTATTTTATTATTATCAGGTCTCTCTTTCATCTTCTGATACATCCAATATATCTGTATTATTTGTTTCATCATTTAGTTTTTCAAATTCTTCATCTTCATATAAATCAGCATTATTCAAATAGATTGTAATTTCTCACTTCCTTTTTTGACATCATAATGTGATATTCATTTTTTGCATTTGTAAGGTAAATGCTGCTAACTTTTGCATTCTTTCAATTTTTTAAACCAAGTTTAGTTCTACACTTTCTATAAAACCAACCAAGAAATAACCATATTCTTTTACAAAAGCTACATGAGGAGTAATTAAAAAAAAAGCTTAGTAGCAAGTTATGCAATATGATTTTAGCCTTTTAGTAAAAAATCAGTTATACAATATCACTATACTATAGGAAAATTATTTAATTCAAATTGTAAATCAAATGATAAATCTCTTTTTATATGCTGTTTATTATAGCATAAATTCTTCATATTCTTTATTTAATTTTATCATTTTATCATAAACTTTATCAGCTACTAAAAGAATTTGATAAAATATTCCTTATACCTATATTTGACCTAAATAAAAATAATAAAATTATTTAAATTTTATTAAAAATACAAATTATTTGAATTAATTTTTTTACTATTAATACCTACAGAGGGTGATCACAAGTTTCTGAATGATTTAAAAAATTATTTACATTTATTTATTTATGTTAATAATTTTTTTTAGAATAAATGAAAATATATTTATCCCAAATATTTTTTATATGTTTATTAAAAAAATAGTAAAAATTTAATATTTTATTACTTCACCTTCAGCTGCTATATACGCTTAGATTCAACAGGACATACTTTCAACTAATTTTTGAATATACTCTAATGGAATTGAATGCCAAGCATTTTTTATCTTATGTTTCAAATTTTCCAAACTTTTAGATTAATTAGACAAGTTTTACATCTTTTTATCAACTTCATTTTAAAGATTCTCGATCGAATTTAGATCAAAACTTTATATAAGCCAGAGTAGCATAAGAATATTTAAGGTATTACAAATATCAGTGGCAATCTTTGATCGATTAGGTAGAGCATTATCTTCTTGAAAAATTTCTTGTTTGTGAGAAACTAACTTATAAAGTGACAGAATAACATGTTTTTGCAATAATTTTGCATATATTTGTCCTTTTACAAATTTATAAAGAGAAACAAAAGGTTCTATTTATATCATGAAAAGCATTTCCAAAACATTTGACTAGTATAGTTAAACAAGAAGAATCAAATTCTTCTTCTGATATATACTATATACGTAAGCTATGACTTTGTGAAAATTAACTAAATGTTGATTCATCAGATTATATAATTTTCTTTTATTCTACAATTGTCCAATATTTTTGTTTTAAAACTCAAACTAATCTTTTTCTTTTGTTATCCTCAGAAATTAATGGCTTAGCTCAGATAACATATGAATGTAAACCAACTTTTCTAAGGATTTGACAAAATTGTAACAGTTGAAACTTTTCTCTTTTTTTTTAATCTATAATTCCTAAATTTTATGAGTGATAGGGTGGCGATTCTTCAAATTTTATATAATAAACTTTTAAGTGAGGCTTGTGCTTTGGAATCAAAAAGTAACTTTATGCTACAACAATTTTTGATATTACAGATTCTGTATTATTGAAATGTTTTATTATATTATAAACAGTCATTTTGCCACACTGAACATTATTAGCAATTTTTTGATATGAATCATCTTGTTTATAATCATAAATAATTGCCTTATATTGTTTAACTATTAACTCTTTTTTCTACCTATTTGTATTTTATTTGAAAGAAAGTTATTGAAAATTATTGTTATTATTGTGATCTACATACCAAATAAATACTAAAATTAGAAATAAATACGTAAATGATGTAAACAAAGTAAAAAAAAAATACTTATCATTCAGAAATCTATGATCACTCTCTATACTTGCTTATAATTCTAAATTAGCAATATTTTTTTAAATAAAGCTAATATATAATAATTATTAAAAAAGCATACTTTTTTATAAAATATTTAATACTATAATAAAAAGTATTTTTATATAATTTAAACATAACTATAATTATTATAATATTATACAATACAGCTGATATTAATATTACTTTTATCAACATGAAAAAATTAAAAAATTATTTGTATAATAATAATGTAATAGATAATACATGACAAATAAGAATTTTTTAATGAAAAAATCCTAAGTTTCTGAAATAAATAGTAAAAATTAAAAACAAAAAGGTATTACACTAATAAAAAATATATATCATATAATACAGGTATATATATACTATGTAAACTTAGAAATTTTCTATTATTAATTAATATTTAAAATTTTAAAAGAATCTAATGATATATTATAATTCTATAGTCAACTCTTTTTACAATGAATTTTGATATAACAAATTTTACAATACAACAGATTTTCAGTGTCAAACAGATTTTTAAATATAAAAAAACTCTTACTATACTGAATTTAGTAATTAAAAATTCATACTATATTTAACGAATTAAAGTCAGAAAATTTTATATATAAAATAACTCTTTTTATAACAAATTTTCTCTATGACGAATTTTTTTTAATGTATAATGAAGTTTTACTTAAAATGAATTTTACTAGGTTTATATATATAAAATTTTGTAGTTTTTTTGTACCTAGTATTTAAATAAAATTAAAAAATGAATAAGTATTCATTTTATGTGTTATATTTTGTGTTTCATATTTTTTTTTACATATTTTATTTTTTATGAGTTTTTTTTTTTTTTGCATAATGCCAAAAATAAACTCAAAAAAATAACTTAAACAACCTACTAACAAATAAGATGAACCTTTAAAAAAAATGAAAGTTTCTTACAGCTGCACAAAAAAAAGAATTTTGTTTGAAAAAAATATCATCACCTTTTTAAAACAAAAAGACTTAGCTAATGAATATAACATTAGTAAAGGTATGATAAGTGACATTTTAAAGGAGATAGACCGTTAGCTTTCTGTAGATACCAATTTATACCAAGCCAATTTAAAACATGATAAGAAAACTCTATTTTCTCTAGTTAAAGAAGCATTAGTAATATGGGTAGATAATGCACTCAAAGCTAGCCTTATTATTGCTAACAATATTCTTTCAATAAAAGCTTTAAGTTTTACTTTTTTATTAAAGAAAAATAAGTTTAAAGGGTCTAGTAATTTGGTAAACAACTTTAAAAATGACACAAACTTAACAGTATCATATACATAAGGAAGTCATAAGTACATTGCTCAAAGATCTCAAAATAATGAGAGAGAATCTCTAGCAAATATTAAAAGAATATAGTCTCAAAAATATATTCAATTGTGACGAAATAGGATTATTTTGGAAGATGAAATCATGTTAAACAATATCCAATGAACAAACATCAGGAAAAAAACAATAAAAAGAGTATGTAACAATCCTACTCACATGCAACACAATGAAAAGTGAAAAGCTGACGCCTTTATTTATACACAAGTATGAAAATTCTAAGGTTATTAAGAATATTGATAAAAAAATGCTTCTGGTTGAATACTATTAGAACTAAAAAAGTTAGATGCAGATTTCAATCTGAAATGATTACATAAAAAAATTCAATACAAAAATGAGAAGATAAAATCAGAAAATTATCCTTCTTGTGAACAATGCTCTGATATACACTCTTTATAAAACTACCTGCTTGACTAACATTACTATTTAATCCCTCTCCTCAAATACCACTACACATCTCTAACCTTGTGATCAAGATATCATAAATAGTTTTAAGGTAAGAAATGTAATTGATTTAATAATTCTTTAGTTAAAATATAATTAACATTAACTTTATTTATATTTAATTCTAATTTAACTTATTTTAAGCATAATATCAAAAGCTTTATTTACAAAATCAGATTAAAGTTTTTGATAAATTTAATGAATATCATATTAAACCCTCTAAAATTGATATTAAAAGTGTATAAAATACATTGCATAAACATGAAATAATATTACAAATAAAACAATTGAAAATTATTGGATGAAAGCAGATATTTTACCTAAAGATAATCATGAAAATAAAGATAAAACCAGTAATTATATATTACTTGAACTTAAATAGTTAAAAGAGATAAAAGAAATTTAAGTATTAATCGATAAACTAGATTTTGATAATTTTTTTTTCACTGAAGAATTTATCAAGTATGATAAGTCTGGTATTACAGACGAAATAATATTTGACAAAAAAATTTTAAAAGCAGTTTTACCTGATCAAGAAAACAAAAGAGAAGAAGATTCTTTATCATTAATAATTACTTTTTGGGAAAGTTATTGAGGCTTATGATAAAGTAATTTTATATTTGAAGTAGTAAAAAAAATCTTTTAGTATGAAAAGAAAAAGTTAAGGTTTATAAAAAGCTTAGAAAAGAAGCTTTAAAATAACAGTTTGTCTCTTCAAAACAAACTAATTTCGATAAATTTATTACTATAATAGAATAGTAATTTGGGAGTTATGTAATAATGTTTACAGTTATTTTTTTTTTTTACTTTTTATAGAATAAAATGATATCATAATTACAAGAAATTTTGATGTATTAACTAAATAATACCCTATAATTGTGTTAAAATTTTGTTGAAATTTTGTTGAAATTGTGTTAAAAAATCACATTGTTTTTTATTAATTTTTAACCAATTTTATTAAACTTGTGTTAAAATTGCTTATTGATTTTTTTATTAAATTGTGATGAATAATTTTATAATGATTTTTTATTTATCACTGAGGTGATAATTTATTATTGTTAATCTACTTTGATTGTCTAATGTATTATATTTATTAATTTGCATAAGTTATTTTTAGATTGATCTAATTTTTATAAATAATATAATATATTATTATTTTGACTTTTTGTTTTTAATACAAATCAGAATTTTAATCATGAAGAGTTCTTTTTGTATTATTTCAATTATGAGTTTTGCTTATTATATTTGAATTGATCTAATTTTTATAAATAATATAATGCACAATTATAATATGATGCTTATATTATTATTTTAATTTTTTGTTTTAATATAAA